GTACAGTATGTATTTTCTCTGTTAAGGCTATACATTTTTTTCTCCTGTACAACAAAATTGCAAATTAAAAGGCTTCTAATTATTATATTTCATAGAGAAATAGCAGGCAATTCTTTTTCATCATAACTGAAAATGCACATGAATTATCTGGGAGTAATCCATCAGCAAGCATTGGTAAGAGGATGAGGGCTTAACTCTTTCTGTTCTCTCCTATGTCTGGTTTCCTTAACCCAGTTCCCCTCTCTCTCAAGCCCTGCCTTCTTGTTTTGGACTCTGGCTTGGAGGTAAATGAGCTAAAAATGGAGGAAGGTATTTGCAAAGATGAAAGTGTGTGTGAGGGAAGGATGAAGTACATCCCTCCTACCAATTCATTCTTCAAACACACTCCCCTCACCTGGCCCCTGCATCACTGTTGCAAGATTAATGCAGTTTTATCTGGTACTGAGTAGCTTCATCCTCAGTTTGGCCCTTTACAATGTGGTCAGTATGAAAAATGTTTCTCGTGCTGATAAATACTTGAATCTATAAGGACTTCCACATTTATTTGTGAGGGAATACCTTTCCCCAGCAACCATTCTAAAATGAAGCAAAACATTAATACAAAAAGCTGCAGATGAACGGTACTCATGCACCATTATGCAAATCTGTATCCCAAATGGAAATTTACTGTCATTCTCAGCCTCATTTAATAAACATTGATGGAACTGGTTTAGTTCCTTCCATGTGTCTCTCAGGTGAAGAGAGACTATTTGCTTCCTAAACCAGTTCTACTTGAACTTTCTGAACTCAGATCCCTTCACTTCTGTGCTTTAGATCAATATAGACCTGTGTTTTAGGAATAGAGTACAGATTTCTTCATCTGAAACAAATATTTGCTGCATTCTGCATTGTATATTCAGACAAAATATCTGTCAGGCTTGAGAAGACAGGCCTGTCACTTCTCTACTGTTTTTAACATTTCCCTATGCTCAGCCATTTTAAACTGGTGTGTGTGTGTGTAACACTATGAAGGGATTTGTGGATTAGGTCCACAAAATTAGGAGCCCTCAATTTGGGAGTGTTTGGTGAGTGGCAGGGTAAAAGAATTTATTAGATCAGCAGCTCAGAGGTTAGGGGGGACAGTTGAATTGATCTTTTTTGCTGGCTAAAAGTAGGGGGACTGGGGTGTGTGTGGCTCTTTCTCTAGGCTCTGACAAAAGATGTTTGCTGTTGCTATGTGTTTCCATGACTGTCTCATCTCAAGTGTAGGTCTGCCGCCCTATGAGAATTTAAATTCCCATAGTTGGGCTCCGAATGAGAAAGTTTAGACTCCTATTTGGGCATTCAGAAGTGGGTTAACCTGAGCATGCTAGGAAGGGGCAGGTATAGTTCCTTATGTGTCCCTTATTCTTCATGTGTGGAATGTGACCATCTGCAGAGGAGACAACTACACATGGAGGTGCTCCACAGGATTGGAGACCTTGAAACAACAGAGTTTTCAGTTTTGTGTAGAAGGTCCACATGCAGAGGAGATTCCCCACTTCAGACTGTCCCTCTCCAAACATGGAGGACAGTGGTAGGGGAAAGAGTTAGCTTTCTCTGCTTCCTGACACAGTCAGAGTAATCCTTTGCCATAGAGCTGAATGGGCTTGGTGTGCCAAGTGATATACTTATGGGGGGAGCTGGTGTTGACATTGTAAAAAGATACAGCCCATGAATGATAGCTTTTCATACCAAATGTGCCCTTTCCCTAATAGCACCAAATAAATGTACATCATTTGGAAATGAATACATAATGGCCAAATTTCTATTGCTGGTATAATGCTTGACAGCCTGTGGCCGGCATCTTCAGAGGACAGAGACTGGCGAAATGTTAGGAAGAACAACCTTCAGAACACGGCCAAAGAGCCCGAAAAACCCACAACAACCAATTTAGTTCCTTTTCCATGTGAATCCAATTTGGGGAAAGTACAGCACATGTTGGCAACATGTCACCTGTAAAATGCTGGCATCTTTACATGTTGCTCAGGAGCAGCTCCTACTGGTGGAATGCTTTGCACAGAGGTCCTTCCTCACAGCTCCAATTCACTGGCTGGAGGTTGCAAAGCAAACATAGAATGAATCCCGTAATAAAACAGTAAAACGTTGTTACTTTTAAAAGCAGAGAGTCACCAGTGCATAATACATTTGTACAGGAAGTGGGTCTCCTAGAACAGCAGAACAGCTAGCGAGTGAGTCTGATAATATGAAAACATTTTAAATACATATTTTGTTCCACTAAAAACAAAGCACTTATACTGGTGTGCACAAGGCCAGGTTGTTTCTGGTTTTGTGCGCACCGGTAAAAGTGCTTATTCAGCTGTAGAATATTATGATCTTCACAATCATATGCCATATTTATCTTGGAATGTCACATGAGAGTACATTACTGTCATAAAAACATGGTACTGTAGAACATTTCACATAGACCAGGCTGTTGTCTTTCCATATGCAGCAAATTCTGTTCATCAGACAAGAGCATGCGAGTCTGCAACTGTCCATGATCTCAAGGCAGTATGTATCTGATGGGTTAGGAAAGAGGAACTTTTTTCTTGATTCAAAAGACAACCATACTTCAACAGTTGGAAGTATCTGTTCCACCACCATCACAGAAAATGTTACTACAATAGTGTTAGTAGTTTATTATACCAGTATGGTGTAGAGGGGGGTGGACATCCAATCTTTGGAACTATTTTAAAAAGGCCATGCCTGCTAACCAAATAGAAAGGCACTGTAGTTTTTGACGGCTCAACATTAGACCCCTTTGACATCTGAAGCGGAGTGAAACAGGGCTGCGTCCTTGCACCAGCCCTTTTTAGGACCTTTTTTGCTGTCATGCTGAAGCAGGCCTTTGGAACTGCAACAGAAGATGTCTATCTCCGGACTAGATCAGACAGAAACCTCTTTAATCTCTCTAGATTGAGAGCAAGGACCAAAGTCCAACTGAAATGCATACGGGACTTCCTCTTCACAGATGATGCAGCCATTGTTGCCCACTCTACTGAAGCCCTCCAACAACTCATGAATTGTTTTAGCAAGGCCTGCCAAGACGTTGGACTAACAATCAGCCTGAAGAAAACACAAGTCATGGGCTGGGGCATGGACTCACCTCCCTCTATTACCATCTCCACACAAGAATGGGAGGTTGTTCATGATTTTGTGGACCTTGGCTCAGCAATCTCTAACACCCTTTCTCTAGATGTCGAGCTGGATAAATGCATTGGCAAAGCAGCTACCATGTTCTCTAGACTCACAAAGAGAGTATGGCTCAATAAGAAGCTGACGACGTATACCAAGATCCAGGGCTATAGAGCCTGTGTCCTGAGCACACTCCTGTACTGCAGTGAGTCCTGGACCCTTTGTGCATGGCAGGATAGGAAGCTGAACGTTCCATATGCGTTGCTTCCAACAAATTCTTGGTATCACCTGGCAGGACAAAGTTCTAAATGGAGTATCCTAGAACGAGCTGGACTTTTTAGCATATATACATTACTGAAACAGCGATGTCTACGTTGGCTTGGGCATGTCATGAGAATGGCTGATGGTTGGATTCCAAAAGATCTCCTGTATGGAGAATTAGTGCAGGGAAATCATCCCAGAGAGAGACCACAGCTGCAATACAAGGATATCTGCAAGTGGGATCTGAACTAGCAGGATATATCATCAGATGGGAAACCCTGACATCTGAGCATTCAGCCTGGAGGCAGGAGGTGCACCATGGCCTCTCCCCATTTGAAGAGACTTGTCCAGCAGGCCGAGGCAAAGAGGAAGTCACAAAAACAGCAAAATCAGGGAGCTGGACAGGGGACAGGTTGTATTTGTCTTCCGTGTGGAAGGGATTGTCACTCTCGAATTGGCTTCCTCAGCCACACTAGACGCTGTTCCAAGTCCCCCATACAGAGCACATTACCATAGTCTTTCGAGACTGAAGGATGCCTAATGAATGTAGACAGAGCCAGTGTGGTGTAGTGAATGGAGTGTCAGATTAGAATGCAGGAGACTTGAGTTCAAAGCTCCTGTTAGCTATGAATGCTCACTATGGAATGTCAATGGTAAACCACATCTTAAACATCTCACATATGTTGAAAGCCCTAGTAGGGTTGTCAGAAGCACATAATAAGACATAGTCAGTTATAGGTAAATTAAGAATCTTACTCAGTGGCTGGAAGAAGGTATTGTCCTTAGTTTGGTGCGATGTTTCTTGGGTGATGGCAAATGATTGTATATGATGCCAAACTTGGATATCCAACGTGTTTTCCACAGTGCAACAGGGTGTTTTCCACAAGTTTTCCACAGTCTTGTGTAGTGTGCAAATTAAATGTTATCCCAAACTTGTTGGTTGTAGGGTTCTTCCTGTTTCTTTGTGCCTCTGTTCCCAACCAAGCAGAAGCCATGTACAATTGTGTGTGTGCGTGTGTGCACATGTGCTTGATGTGAGAGAGGAGATGTTGAGTGACTGACAGCTCTATGTCAAACAATATTAGGAAGGGCAATTAATTCTATATTGCACAAAGTGAAAGCTGAAAATTACCTCAAGTTGATTCTTCAGTACTGCAGAATCCATTTTAGAACATGCTTACACATGTCCCCTCATCCACCCACCCACTCACTCTTCGATGCCTGTCCTAAAGTAACATCCTGCAGAACTCAAAGGCTTGTTTGTTTCTGAGATTTTCATGGTGTAATAAAGGTATCCTCTATCCTTGTTTTTGGATTGTGTGCCAGAACCAAAAGGCTTTCCCCTTTCTCTTTTAATGTAATCTGTATTTCTAGTTTCACCCAATTTTATATCAATATGGGTCATTTCCAAATCCTGTCATACCATCTGGCATTAATCAGGATGATGAGAGTTGTGCTCTAAAATGTGTGGGGAGTACTTGTTTGGAGCATGTTAAGGTGGGTACTGCTTGTTTCCTCAAAGTGGACTGATCTGAGTGTTCCCAATGTTTAGTAAGATTTTTTGTTTGTTTGTTTGTTTGTAGCTGAAGATCATTTATCCAGTGTATTTGATGGTCAAATCAAATTACGGGCACTTTGCAAGTTTTGTGATGTTAAATTAACCAGCTGCAAAAATGAAGGCCGTTGCAAGAGTCAATGCAATATCACATCTATCTGTGCTGACGAGAATGAAGTATGTGTAGCTGTTTGGTAAGTTCGTTCAGGTTGCATACATGACTTAAACTGTGTTTTCCTCCCAAATCTGGGATTTGTTCAGGCAGTTCTGCACATTCATTCCAATGCTATATTTTCCTTATTTTTGTTGACTGTAACATGAATTTGGACAGTATGGCAAGTTTTAAAAAGAAAACTTGTACTTAGGCATTATATACACACACATACATACTGTATATATACACATTATATCCAAGGATAAAAAAGATCTGAGAGTCCAGAATATGAATTATTTTTGAAAAACAAAAGCTTCACTAAAAGTGATTCCAATAAGATATAGGCTTCATATATATAACTTCTAATCTCATTCGGCATGACACCTGTTAACCTATAAAATAAAATAACCAGGCAGAACCTCATACACTTGATGATGTAAAGAAGGGCCTACATGTAGAATGGTAGGTTTTATGATGGTCTTCCATCACATAATAAAGTGTATGAGAATCCTCCTCCTGTACTGAGATGGTTGGGTTTGATGGCTCTGATCAACTTTTGAAAGGTGCAGAAAGAAAACAGGTCTGGAATCACTTTCTCCAAACTCTTAGCAGCTGATGGAAAAGAGATCAGTCCTCTAAGATTTGAAGTATGTTTGGGCATGCCCATGTACGTCCTCTTTTCTGTGACTCACTAGATCATTTCTCATATTTAGACAAAAAAGCATTTCCTACTTTTAAAATGTTGTCCCTTCAATCTTGCAAATTTTTCAGAGCTACATGCCCAATACATTGCACATACATGCATAGCTGTATGTTTGCTTTACACATGGAATCAGTTTCTCACCTACCATTGTCCATTAGGTGCTCAACTGGAGTTGATGCATTCAAAGTTTTTGCTCCCTCCAGTATCATTCTGCATGTGCATCATCTCTAACAGGTTGAAATGTTGCTATTTATACCTGCTGTTGTTCATGACCTTTATAAGCCAGTGCAGCTCAGTACAAATGGGAAGAACCTGTAGGGACCTGTCAGCAAAAACAATGGCAATCAGGCAGAGTTTGCAAGGTTCTTTGGAATTCCATTCATTTGCCTTCATTTGACATAAGACGATTCTCTGAATCCAAAATGTGCAGATAAATTTATTTTCTTTATTGGAACAGTTTATTTTGTTTTTAGCATATGTAACCTTTTGAATTACATGACAGTATTCTGAAATGTCGGCGATTCAGAGGGCAATTTTATTTCATTATAAACATTCAAGTACTATCTTTGCTGTGAAAAGGTCCTGGAGGGACTTACAACTGTTAAACTCTCACTGCAATTTAAAAACAATGAAGAGCATTTAAAAAGTCAGAATAAAACAATTTGTATATTATAGCTAGAGGATGAAATCACCCTAAGGAATTCAGAATGACTGTAATGGCAACCTTTAGTACTGTTTGTGTTTATGAATTCTGGGGTGTTTGATATTTAATGTAAACAATATGCTCGTTCAATTAAACATAGAGGAAAAGAGAAAAAAAGATTGAGTTTGATAGTCACTCAAAAATACTTGTTATTGGTTTCATATTACCTTCTTTTGAAAACTAATTATCTTTGAATAACTCAGAATAACATATGAAACTTAAAACATTGTCTCCAGTTTAACTCATGTTTACTGATCTGGTTCAATCATATCTTATCTTAATAAGCCACAGGAAGCAGCAGCTTGTACTGATGCATGACTGAAGGAAAGGCTGTTCTTTTCATGCTTACTCATATATTGTCTTTTCTTTCAAGTGGTTTCCAAAATGGACTTAATAATGGAAAAGGTCATGCAAACCAATTTTTAAAGGAATAAAATTCAGTCTGGTGAAGGATGACACCACCTCTCCATGTTTCAAATCATATGGTCTTATGTTCTGTGTAACTGAAGTTTTGCAGAGAAGTCAGAAGCATAAGGTCACAATGGTTAAATGCAATTTAAATGTTAGTACAGTGGGTTAGGTTTACCCTGAACTCACTTCATCGCAATATTTTTTTTCTTGTCTTTCTTGTTAAATTATTTCTGTTTTGTTTTTTGTTTTGTTCTTTTTAAAACCATTTGGCTTGTAGGAGAAGGAACGATAAAAATGTAACTTTGGAAACGATATGTCATAATCCCAAAAAAAAGCTCGATGGGCATGAACTGGATGATTTCAATTCTGATAAATGTATAATGAAAGAGAAGAAGGAAGCTGGAGGATTTCTGTTCATGTGTTCCTGCAAGATGGAAGAATGCAATGATGAACTCATTTTTTCCGAAGACAATTCAAGTATGTTCAGTTTTCTTATTCTATCCATATCCTTGTTTCATTTTCTTTCCTCTTTTTGCACTTCCACTTGTGCCATTGCTCCGGGGCGTGAATGGAGGAAGCTTTAATCTTTAGGATTCCCAGTTTTGGAAAAGTATAACATTTCTTTATGACAAAGCAAAAGGCTAGATAGTGGTAATCCACTGGGCATCTTATCAAGAACTCTTGTCTCTCAAGTCTTGTGTAGAAAAGGGTCAAAGAAGAAAGGAACTTGCTTGTCTCATGATTTTTGACTCATGTTTTAAAACATACTGGGATTCACCACCACCACCTGCTATGAATTTGGCACTGCATGAGAGCTGGCTTAATGGTTTAGGTCTCTGGCTACTGAGCCAGATATTGGGAGTTCAGTTCCCCACTGTGCCTCCTTGCCAGGGGCTGGACTTGATGATCCAAAGAGTCAGTTTCAGCTCTACAGTTTTAAGAAGATGATGGTGATGAGCGTGCTACTATCAGTCAGCTTGTAAGTCTTGAAGGATCCTGCATTAATAGTTTACTGTGAATTTTCACAAGAATGTCCCCAGTGTGTACTGTCCTGTTTTGCCCAGGTCAAGGTTTAACTCTGGCATGTAGACTCATATCTAGCATTCTGTCATCTTCACAATTCCAGTTTTGTGTTACAGCACAATGGATAGTGTCTGTGAATGTGACCTTTTTACATCAGATATGTTGAAATTATGGATTTATTTATTTACACCTGTATAGTACTACTACTTTTGCTAACTGGCCAAAGAGTTGTGACTAGCAGTTTTGGTCCCTGGGGCTTTGCAAACCTGGTTAAGTTTGTATATTGAGAGATTGACCTGCACAGAGAAAGAACAGAGGAATGGGGAGGAATGTTGAGGTCTGAGTGTGCAGTTGCCATATTTGTTCTGTGCTGAGCCTACCTGTTTTGTATTATTATTATTATTATTATTATTATTATTATTATTATTATTATTATTATTATTATTATTATTATTATTATTATTATTATTATTATTATTATTATTATTATTTGTGGGGAGGA